ACGAAGAGAAGGGGGCTCCCTTTTTGCCAACCTAGCGACCGACCGACATACTGACACCAGAGCTAAAGTTAGTAGTAGTCGTTGTGGTGATTGTGGCATAAAGTAGTAGTGCTACTGCTGCTGCTGCTGCTGCTGCTGCTGCCGCTGCTATTGCTAATGCTACAGTACTACAGTACTACACTCCTCCTCCTCCTCCCGCTACTGCTGCTACTACTACTAGTACTACTACTAGTACTACTACTACTACTACTGCTGCTACTACTGCTGCTGCTACTACTACTACTACTACCACCACCACTCCTGCTGCGAGTACGGGCACACCACTCGAACACACCTGTTGCTTTGTCCAGCTGCTGCTGTCGACCCGGTTCCGGTAGACTTCCTTTGTACAGTTTTTCGGTTGCTGACACTCTTGACGTTCAATAAGGCCTGGTGCTTCTGCTTTGCGAGGGCACGGGTGCCGCAAGTGGAAAACATGGGCTCCTTGGCGAAATCGTTAAGGCCCGGGCCTTATGATACATGTAGATTTGTAGAGCACTACGAAAACCTTTACTGTATCGACGGTATCGATGCGCAAGAAGAGTGGGAAAGATCCCGTAGGCTCTCTGAGAGGCACGAAATACTTTGGCAGTTCGGCAGGTCTGCGCCGCTAACGTGGTTTGACTTTTTGCCTTCAATTTCGGCTTCGGCTTGCTGGCTGCACGTGAAAAACCATCATGCGTGGGATCGACAATGTGTGGGTGGTGGCAAAATCTAGTGGCAGAGGGTCAAGTTTTCCTGTCACCGATGTCAAGGGTCGGATATGTAGACTCGAAGGAAGCTGGCCTTTGGCAAATGCTTGCGTGCTGCTGAAATTTTTCCTTCAGTGTGGAAGAACATCATCAAAGCAAAAGGCCATGCCTGTCGCGGCCTAGTTCAGGGCCTCAACAGTCAATGAAATCATCAAAATGATGGCTCTTTTCTGCACCCAGGATCCCTTCGTTCGTACTTCTGCGGCCGAGCTACGAGCCGCAGATCCAGAACCCACCAAAGAGCTGCCACACTCGAGAACCCGCTTCTGGGCCTGATCCTTGAGCGTCGGGGCTGCTGAGAGAGCGACTGAGTTGACGTGTAAGACTCCCCAGACTAGGACGGCGAGGAACTGAGGAGTACAGGGGTCATCAAGTTGGGCTCACCTGACTCGGACATGTCGACCTGCCAACCTGGGAAATGTTGTCGTGGGATGACTCCGTGCCTCTGAGAATCACTCCCGCTGGAACAAGGTTTGATGTCCTTGGCCTGTCGCAGGACATGCTTGTATGACATTTCAAAAGAGAGGTAGATTCTGACAGTTATGGGCTGATATGTTCTCGGTTATGTCGCTACTCCTTTTGGTTCGGTAGGATTGCGACGACGAGGAAATCAAGCCGGCATTCAGCACCTTGGTATACAACATATGCGGCCGGGATCGGCCACTGGTGGCTTCGCTCCTGCTCTCTGCTTGTCTCCCTCTTCCTTGTCCTGTTTCTCCTCCTTCCTTTGTTTGACTGTGTCAGGCCCCCCTCATGTGCCGATTCATGTCTCTAGCTTTCTAACTTATCCGATCTTATCTTATCTGAGTTTGTCTGGTCACATAGTTTTCATTATGTTGTTAGTTTAGCTCGGCTTAGCTTAGCTTGGTTTATCTTAATCCAATTCTATTCTCTCCTATCCTGGCGTATCCTATCCCATTTATCCGTCTATCCATTTATCTATCTATCTATTTATGGCTCTATCTATCTATCTATCTGTCTATCTGTCAACCTATCTATCTATCTGTCTGTCTGTCTATCTATCCATCTACCTATCTATCCATCCATCTATCTATCGAGACAAGGCAGCGTATGCATGCACAGGCTTCCTTTCAATGTGTCAAAGGACACAGAACGCGACCGCGAAGATAAGCTGCTCTACGCATGTCTTGCCAAGCAACACAGGAAGGCTCGCTCGTCAGCTTCATCCGGATGTGGAGACGGGCAGCGAGGCCTTGAGGGGGTACGTTATTTCTTGCTACAGGTCTGCTAGCTAGCCGTCCTGCACGAGTGTCCATATCAATGTCGGCTATTTTCTTCTGGACTCTGTGGGGGAGTGTCGGCTCGGCGAGTCATCCGGCTCTTTCGATACACGGCTTCCTTCCCCTGGCTTTTTGGGTCCCCTTCTGAAGTTGAGGATTCAATACAGGAATGAGCTCCAACCGACACGGCCGCCGTTGTTTGGAGCACGAGTAATGCTGCACAAGACCTTATCAGCATGGCCTGAATGTGTATCGCCCGGATGCAAACAGCCGTGGAACCCCAGCACAGGCCCGTTTCAAGCGTCTGGTCTGGGCTTCACGGGAGCTCGCCAGCGCGGCGGGGCGGAAGAAGTGGCGAGCGCGAGGCAGGAAGGGACGAGAGATTTTCCCGCATTGGGCATGTGGCTGAGGCTGAAAGTGTGGTCTTTGCGCTTTCGGCTCAGTATGCAAGGCAGCGGCGAAGCTATGTCGCTGGAAGAGTACGAGCTCGAGAACGAGGAGTCGGTGAGTATCGTGCTGGACGAGGGAAGCCTCGGAAGACCAAGTGATGTTAGCAACGGTCTGGCAGAAGGCCGTGTGACATCGTGTGACCCTAAGGTGCATACCGCACTCAGTCTTGGACGCCAAGCAAGGCAATTGAGATCCAAGTTCCGTTTAAGAAGTTTAGTCGAATTTGTTTGAGTTCACCGTGCTGGGAGCAGAGCCACGGCTAAAAACTACTGCCATTGTCACCATGCAGTGAAACTATAGTTAACTAGTCTCACCGCTTGTCCATTTGCGCCGCTCTACGGCACTGTGATTGGACCTACTGGTCAGACTGCAAACTGCCATGAAGTAGCCTAAAACGCAAGACCGAGCGAGTTGGCTCCCTGCCTTTGCTGTGCTTGAGCGGTTTCGGGAAGGATTTCGCGTTCGACTTGAACGACTGGCCGTTTGAAGAGCTCGACGATCTTCTCAGGGTATCTGAAGAGGCACGCGCTGCTTGAGCTCGAACTCACGAATCGGCACTCCGCCGACTAAGTACCTGTCTGGAGAAGACGTGCAACCTCATCATACCTCATCCAATTTAAAACTGCAGGCACATGCCACCTTGTGTTGATGAGAAACTGTAGCCAAGCCAACCATAGGCATGCTCCTTTCCAAGACCGAGCGAACAAGAGTGTTTTGTAAATCAGGCCGTTGACACTGAGACCATGACGGATGTCCGCAGCTCTTGGTGTGATGACGGCTCTTTGGCAAATATGCAGGCTACAGTGCTAGTGATGCCAGTGGCAGCAGCCTGCGCAGTCACATCCCTCTACCAGAAGTAAGACTCCCAAAGTAGTACGTAGGAACCCTGGACCAAGCACGAAAGCACATGGAAGCAGAGTGTAGCTGCCGAACACTTCCGTGCCTCTCAGAAAATCTGCGCCGCATAGCTTGACATTGTCGCATGGCAATCTAGGGGAACAACTCCAACCCCCGATAAGCTTGACATGCCAATTATGAGCATGTTCCCGAACAGCGCGAGCTGCAGCCATCGACCACCCAATCACATGCCCTTTTCAGAGCAATCGCACGTGCCTGGAAGCAGAGTGTTGAAAGTCATTGCAGCTCAGGCTTTGCGATAGAGGACCTCCACAGATCAAGTGTCAATTGGGTTGCGCGGCATCTGGAATCGGAGCTACTTGTAAGTCTACTGATAGTAATAGGAAGCCTGCATTGTCCCATTCTTTGCCGCTGAGCCCATTCGAGCCAGTGGAACTGAGGCCTAGAGCCATGGGGCCCCAGCACATATCCTTGAAGCCTCACATCCCACACGGAGCGGATCACGTCCTTTTGATGAACAGCTGAACACATCAAGCACTGCGAGCAAGTCCAAGTCACCTTTCCAGGACGAGGCAACATCCTCCAGAACCAGCGCATCGGACTTCGAAATGATTTATTTTCAGCGACTCCCGACGGCATTGTCTGTTGCAGAGGCATCATCAGGCACATCTATAGCGCGTCATGTCATTGGTTGACTTGCTCCATTGTTTTGTTGCGCTGTCTGCGCACGGTGTGTTTTGGTTCGTGTTGGTTCGTGCCATTTTAAAAAGAGGCCAGGTAATAAAAAGTAGGTGAAGCTGCCTCTCTGATGGCCGGTCGCTAAGGAGACGATTTCTGAAGCTCGTTGACCATGGCCAACCTAGCAAAGCCGCCAGCATGATTTGCATCGCTGCGGTATGCTCTCAGCACCTTTGTTTATTCTGGTTTATAGATGTGGAAATGAGGGGGAATAATCATAAAGCACGGAGGCCCTAGTCTAGGATTCTAGGCATGATGCAACGGCACATCACTTTCTATCATCTTCAGCACACATGATACTACCGACATTCATCCGCGAATGTGTTTTTTGCCATGAATGTTTTCGGTCATACAGATGTTTTCCTCGTGTCGATGACGCAAGCTCCCAAAGCGAGTCTTGCTGTCTCGCTGCGATATCGGCACATCCCAGGGTTGTGGCGACTTCTTGCCGGGAACAAGTGTCTCCGGATTTTTGAAGTGCCCAATCCAAAACTTTCAACGCCTAGAACTGTGCCAGGATTGTTTACATAGCAACGAGAGGATGCGCTCGACCGGGAGACCTGCACAGATGTTGCAAGTTGTCCTCCCAGCGCGGTGAGCAGCAGGAATGTGGAGCCAAAGAAAGACCCTGATTGTGAAGTCAAGCAAAACTGTGTGCACATGTGTGCGACACAGCAGGCCTTCATCTTGAGGCATGCTCGGCAGACAGGAGAAAGAACGACAGAGAGACAGAGAGAGGGGGTTATTAGGTTACGGTTCATGGGGGATACAACAGTTTTTTGCACCACAGGCCTCATCGAGTAAAAGCGTGTCGCTTTGTGTGTATGTGTAAAAATGGCAAGTGGCTACGCAGCTACGGCTCAAGGTTAGTTGGTTCAACCCTTGCCTGCCGGAACCTGTGCCCCGCACCAGTTGACTCAGTATGCCAGCTGCAGCTGCGTGCCTCCCGACATGGAAAGCAAGGGTGGTGCATACGTTTGTCGAGTTTGTGGAGGAAAAGGAGGGAAAGCCGGGCCGTCGCAGTGTCTCCGTGCCGCCGAGAGTGTGCCGGCACCATGCCGAGACTGAGCTGGCGGAGGAGAAGCTGCCTGAGGTGCAGTTGCCGAAAGCTCCTGTGGGAGCATCAACGCTTAACTTAAGCGTTGATGCTCCCACAGGCGCATTCACCCACATGCTGCCCCATTCACCGGGGTCAGCGGGGAGGCGCCATTCGGCGCAGACTCGGAGGTGTACTACCCTTTTCAAGAGTACACCGTAGACGAATGGCTTGACTGGATTTGCAGCTGCAAACGAACCACGTCCTGTTGACGCCCGAGTATGCAGCTTACGTATGTGAGGTTGCTCGGCTGCTTGGGATGCCAAGCACAGAACCCGAAGAGCCACAAAACATACACATCTGTCGCATGGGAAGACCAGGATCTTACTTGGTAAAGTGGTTCATGGACTCTCGCATGCTCCGGAGCAACGACAAGCATGTCATGTCACCGGGGTTTGAATTGTACCACCCTTGTACCGGCCAGCTCTTGAGGTTTCCCCAAACACCGGGGTAAGGCAAATCCCGATGCCAATTTTAAGAAGTCTGACGGAAGAGGCATGTTCCAGTTGAAGTGCGACACCCAGCCCAAAGACCACGGTTGTTTGCCATGCCGGTTTGGGTTCTCAGTTTCAAACGGGGAGATGC